GTCCGGCCGATAATCCCGTGGCTCCGATGTTTGCGCTCACTTGCTCACATAACAACACTCAATAAATATTTAATAATGCAATGACCTCCCGGCCTGATGCATGTGACTCCGTTGTATTTGTATTAATGAATCGCTTTGATCCACTTGCTTACTTTTCTTTCTATTTCTAGATGCTCTTCAATATTTTTGCTGGATTATTTTCATACTCTATTTTTCATATTTTTTCTCTACTCAGTAACACATTTCTCCAACAGCAAAAAAGGAATAAACACACATCATAAACGAAGGTCTACTAGAGTATTTGGGATCATTCATTCAGATCATTATTATTTCAAGATATCTTTATTCTCACCATGTTACAACTTGCTAAAACCTTCGAAGACAATTTTAAAATAGTTAACGGTCTTCGGAGCCCACTTTAAATGGTGCACTAAACTTTTTACACTGACAAGTCGATAAATTTAAAAATCCTCCCCAGCAGCAATGAATCAATATAAACGTAGATTGGCGGGAACGTGCGTTTCCGGCCACAGACTATCAATTTAGAAAGCGTCAGACGCACCATAAGTTATAGGCTCGCTCCCGCCGCGGTCGCAGCGCTGCCGTCCATTAGTGACAAGCGCTTTACGCTTTAGTGTTATTTTAGAGGAATTAGTGGTGGTTTTGGACTAATGCACATCTATATCATGCCTGTAGCATGTGGATATGAATCATTTATTACAGGGATCTGTTAGAACAGTTGTTTAAATCAAAGACCGAATTTCGGTTACGGCAGCTCGTCTAGTCGGAGACGGCTCAGGAAACGATTATAGTGCGAGTGTGTGCGTAAAGCACAGGTTTACTCTTTATTCTCTGACTCTCATAGAACCATGAAACGTCAATCCGACATGACCGGAGAAAGATTAGACTTACGGTTACGGCTTAATCTTAAAGTGCTTTTCGAGGTACGAGGATAAAATACCGCTGAATTCCTGGAATCTAGGAAATTCCACCCTAGTGCAACGAGGTACTGTCGTTCATTCATTATATTCTCATGGAGGATATTTGCCATATTTGCCACGCTCGGCCGGGGAGACTACTGCCCATTTCTTGGTTTGTTTACCCTAGTTACGATACCCACGGTGCGATATGGGGCACTGAATATTCTTGTACCACCACTACACGGTCATTGGCGAAGTCAAGTTATGGACGGCAACATATAAACATGTAACTGCGTAAAAAAGGGAAAGGGAGATAAAACCAAGACACAGTGGACATTATTGGTTGCGTGTGTACTTAAAATTAGAATGTAATGTTTTAAATAAGTATACATACTATTACTGTAATATATTATGTATTTTGTGTGCTCATTATTTAATACAAATATAAAGGAGAAATACCCGATTAGTTGCTTTGTTATAACATAGGTAATATCGGGAGACGTGTGTGCTTGTTCGGGGTGTTTATATAGATATTTTTTTTATAGAATAGGGTGACAAACGAGCACACAGTCCACCTGATGGTAAGTGGTTGCTGTGGCCTATAGACATCTACATCTATCCTCGTTTGCAAATCAAAATGCAGATGCGTTGTCACCCGTGAGGACTAAGATGAAATGTTTCTTTTCCAGTAAAAAGGGTCTCCGGTTCTCTACACTCACCATACGAAGCACAGCAGTTTTAAGCTGCTATTTTACGCTGGTATTCTGTGAGAGCGTGGTCCTTCCCCGGTCGAGTCGACCCATTCGTGCTACAATTATAAACTACTAATATTCATGCAGCATGGCTCTACCACGTATAAAAATTAGTTAAGACTATTCGTATAACTAAATCCAATTGTCGAGTGACCATATTTATGCTTTCTATTGCAGGATATACTGCAATAGACAGCATAAATATTGTAATCGTCATTGATATATTTCACACTAACGTAGTTTATTTCTGTTTGCTGGTCATTCAACAATTATGTAACGTCTACCATAAAAATATTTATATTAATTTTCAAAGGCAGCATTCCAGTGTAACTATGTGTGTTAGAAATATATCGTATAATTCTCATTTACATGATATATTTCTCCTTTGAAAGGAACATTCACACAAATGAGTAATTATACATAACTATATTTTAGACTAATTGGCCCTTAAAGCTTTGAAAGGCCCGCATGGGCGTACACTGACGAGCAAAGTTATGAAGATGTTTTATTACAAATTATTATTTATCGCTGTCTTCCCGGTTTGAAATTATAATCAATTTTTGAAGCACTTGCTGACATTCAATTGAGCTGAAAATTGGAATACATACTATTTTTTTCTTATATATTAAGAGAGAGGGCTTTGCTAGGAGACAGACTTAGAAATGAGGATATCCGCAGTAGAACTAGAGTAACCGACCTAGCTTAACAGATCAGTAAGCTGAAGTGGCAATGGTAGCTTGAAGAACCGATAACCGATGGGAAAAAAATGTTCTCAAGTGGCTCTAGCCTTGTACCGGTAACGAAGTAGCATTCCTTGGGGAACATTAGCTCACCCAGCAGTGGAGTTGTAAAGAGCTGTAATAATAAAAGCAAAACGTAACGTTATCAGAAAACAGATTTATGCCTCTTATTAATCGTGCTAATAAACTTACGCCATAATCAACAATTGAAGCTTATGCTTCCTATTTTATAATTATTATAATTTTCTTTATCAGTTTGCTCGTTGATCCGCATATTCATTAGACGTTAATGTCTTTCCGGCTTATTCTCAAGACTTAATCATTTTACGGTTCCTATCAAGATACGGCCGTTGAAATACGCCACATATAAAAGTGTGCAATATCTATATACCCGGGTTCGAACTCCGCCGGCACCAATGATTTTGTCAATTGCAATTTTAAGTGGTGATTTATCACGTGCTCGGCGGTGAAAGAAAACATCGTGAGGAAACCTGAATATCTGAGAAATAATAATAAAAGAAAATATATTTCGAAGATACTCGTATCTGAAGTTTGCCAAGACGCATTGGGGCGGCGCGACGGGTATTTCCTTGGCCCAAAACCCCCTTAGAAATGAGAGGGGGCCCAGCAGTGGGACATATATAGGCTGTAACTTTAACTTTTTAACTTTAATATCTATACGAATATAGGGTATAGAGTAGAGTAACTAATAGAGTCACTATGATTTTATGACGTGTGGTATTGTATCTCACAGTGCAAAGGGGTGACAACGTATTTGCATTTTATGCTTCTACTTCCTTTAACTATTATTTATTCTGTGCTTCTACTAAAAAGGTACTTTGGTTTTGTCATTTACAACACATTTGTCATTTATCATAGTAACATAACGCTGTTATGTTACGTTGATATTCTGTGAGTGAATGGACCTTTATCGGTCGCTTTGTCTTATTCATACTGCCGTCATAATAGAGATGCACTTAGTGAATGCTGCAGCCCATGGACATCTACTACTAGTACTACAAGATATTGTAATATAATTATAAACGTATATTATTAATATCCTTAACCACGCCTCATATAATAATAACAACATAAAATAGCAGTCTAATGGTGCTGTGTTTCGCATGGTGAGTGTACAGAACCTGAGACTTTTTATTGGAAAGGAAGCGTTCCATATCAGTTTTCATAGATAGATAATACATAGATGTAGGTGTTTCTTCTTCTTCTTCTTCTACCTAGCGTTTATCCCGGTTGCTCATCCCGCCCAGCGCGGGAGAACCCAGGGTCCGCTTTCCAACACTTCCTCCTCCACTTTGCCCGGTCTTCGGCGTCCCTCACAACTAGCCCATTGGCGCGCATGTCATCCTGCACGACATCAAGCCAGCGTTTCTTGGGCCGTCCTCTACTCCTGGTACCAGGTAAGGTCATGTCCAGGCATTTGTTTCCCACGTAGCTTGCTGGTCGTCGTAAGACGTGGCCGTACCAGCGGAGGCGACTTTCCTGCAGCTTGTCAGCAATGTCACGGACATGGAGGCTGCCGCGGATGTATGTATTCCGTACACGGTCTTTCCGCGTGACGCCACACATCCACCGCAGCATGTTCATTTCCGTGACATGCAACAACTGCCGGTGTCGCTCCAGCACCGGCCACGCCTCACTGCCGTACGTAAGGACAGGCCTTATGATGGTCTTATAGACCTGTCCCTTCAGCTTCACCGGCATTTTGGGGTCACAAATGACACCCGTCACCTCGCGCCATTTCGCCCAAGCCGCTGATATACGGGCCTTGATGTCGCGATCGATGTCACCGGACGCATCAAGCACAGATCCGAGGTACCTGAAGTAGTCCGTGCGCTCAACGGTGTCGTCGCCTATACGGAGAGACGTCAGATCTGTGCTGTTGCAGGCCATATACTCCGTCTTGGCCACGTTTAGCTTCAGCCCGCCGTTCTCAAGCGCCTCCCTCCATGCGTGCACGCGTCTGGTGAGCCGTCCTTTGTCCCCATCTACCAGTGCGATATCATCAGCGTACATAAGCAGCCAAGGCTGCGGCAGTTTCTGTACGCTGGCTGACAGTTCGTCTAATATCACACTGAAAAGATAGGGGCTTAAGGCGGAGCCCTGATGCACGCCTATGGTTATGGGGAAGGGGGTGGTATCACCAACAGCGGTCCTAACTATTGAATCGGAGTTGCGGTTCATGTCACGTACGATTTCCACGTAGGTCTCTGGTACCAACTTCGACCGCAACGCCCACCAGATCATCTCCCTAGGAACACAGTCAAAGGCCTTCTGCAGGTCTAGGAATAAAAAATGCAGAGGCATATTCTTTTCCCTGTGCTTCTCCATGAGGATCCTTAGGGCGAATATAGGGTCCATGGTACCGCGTCCTGGTTGGAAACCGTACTGGAAGTCCGACACTGTACACTCCTGTCGGATCCTGGTGTCAATAATGCGCTCGAAGAGCTTCATGGTGTGTGACATTACCTTTATACCGCGGTAATTACCGCAATCCTGAACGGACCCTTTACCCTTGTGGACCGGCGTTATTATACTAAGCCGCCACTGATCGGGCATTATTCGGTCGCTCAGGATTCTATTATAAAGGTTAGTAAGAATGCACACACCACGAGCCCTTTCCACGCTCCAATTGGCACCTCGTCCGGTCCGACAGCTTTCCGATTCTCCATGTGACGAAGAGATGCGAGGACCTCGTCAGGCGTAATCGGTGGCACAAGTCCATGGTTCGGGAGTTGTTCGGGAGGGTGCACTTCCCGGTGCTGAGTATTCAGCAAAACGTGGAAATAAGAGCGCCATCTCTCCTTCACCGCACGATCATCGTACAGGAGCTCGCCATTAGGGCCGTTGACGCTGCAGCAGCGAGTAATATCTTGCGCTGCTTTGGCCCTAGAGCGCGCCAGTTTATATATGAGCTTGTGCCCCTCAGGAGTGTCCAACTTAGCATATAATGGTTGCAAGTGGTCACGCCTGGCTCTGGCTACAGCTTTCTTGGCAGCTCTTTTCGCAGTCTTGTAAGATGCGCGATCTTCAGGAGATTTGGTCACTTGCCACGTCTTGAAGAGCGCTTTCTTCTCCCGTAATGAACCCTGGACTGTGGCGTCCCACCACCAGGTCTCCTTGTCGATTTCGCGGCCCCCTTTCGCCACGCCGAGAACTTGCTTTGCCGTCTTTGTGATTGCTGTCTGAATGGTTTTCCAGCACTCTTGGACGGACTTGCCTGCTGTGTCGAGACTAATATCTCCAGCGGCAGAGTCAAACTCTGAGTATCTGGTTTGATCCAGCAGCCACCACTTGATTTGACGGCGGCAACGTTCGGCGTGTCTGCGACGGGGTTTTACGCAGAGGTCCATGACAAGAAGTCGGTGTTGGGCAGTGAGACACTCACCGGGTATGACCTTACAGTTGGCCAGGCGACTGATATGACTTCTCCTGGTCAGTAGATAGTCGATTTGAGTGGCGTTCCGACCGCTCCTGTAGGTAATCAGGTGCTCGGTTTTCTTTTTGAAGAACGTGTTCACCACGGCCAGGTCAGCTGCAGTGCAGGTTCTGAGAATGGTTTCCCCCTCTGCGTTTCTTCGGCCGTAACCATAGCCGCCGTGGACACGTTCATACTCCCCCTGCACCTCGCCCACATGACCATTCAGGTCGCCACCCAAAACGACATCGTGGTACAACGGTATGCCACGTAGTACATCTCCGAGCCGATCCCAAAACAGCGTTTTATCCGCGTCGCTGCAGCCGACCTGTGGGGCGTAGGCACTTATTAAGTGGGTCACGACCCCCTCAATAAGCAACCTTACTACTTATTACGTAAACAAGTCGGTCGCATATGCGTCTAACTTCCAAGACGCTATCGTGGAAATGCTCGGCGAGCACCACTGCCACACCGTTCTCTCCACCAGAGGAGCCTGTATATATCAGCTTGTAGCCGTGCCCAATATTCCGGCTCCTGTTGGCCTTCCACCGTGTCTCCTGCAGGAATGCCACTGCCACTTTACGCCTGGCAAGTATGGCCGCAAGTTCTGCGGAGCGTCCCGTAAGCGTGCCAATGTTCCAGTTTGCAAAGCGAATCTTCGTAGTTGGTGCTAACGTCTTTAGCCGGGCTCGCACGGGGCCCGGTAGCCCTCGCATACTTGTCGCAGGGTTAAGGCGATCCCCATGCGCGTCGTTATGCGGCGACGCCCTAGTCCTAAACGTATTTATCTTTCTTTTACCGTCCATTTTTGAGTGGCTTAGTGCCAATTACCAGGGCGACTGCCGTCTGACCCCCGAACCCCTAGGACGAATCCCAGAGGAGTGGCATCGCCAGAGCCCTTTCCGTTATCCAGCAGGTGCGCCACGTGCAGGCGGGGTTGGCTTGGGCTCCAAGATCTTAGCGGAACCCCTTACACCCCAAGGTGTTTATAGGCTACAAAATTCACTTACCAACAGGTGGACCGTGTGTTAGTTTGTTACCCTAATGACGTAGGTGAAACGATATACAAATAAACAATTTTCTTCGCTCAATTCGAGTAAATACTACCTGACCTCATATCAAATTTCTTTCAATAGTCCTTCTCATCATAAACTGCTAGTACATCCTTTGATAGTCAAACTTTACATTTGAAATGTGTATCGTAATAAAATAAAATTATGTGTCTGACCTAGTTTGAAGAGCACCTCCCGCCTCTCAATTGCGTGGACTATCTCCGTCACCACTAATCCCAACACCACTACACTAGGAAAGCCAAACCACCTAAAGCTTATTTCTTTACTTGTGTTTTAGCAAGAATGTATTATGAGTATAAACATTGAAACAATTCATAAAATATCAATCAATACATTTGAAATGTGTATCGTAGATAATAAAATACTAGTGGACGAGTTTTTCAGCCCCACGTGTACGTAATGTTAGATGAGCGATGGGATAATAAAAACACATATGTCACACCATAAAATATGGTTGTATTAATAGCTTTGGATGGGATTATAAGAGACACGGGTTGAAGAATAGGGTCGCCAAGTGTTATTAATTTAATATTTTTCTACCTTTTATTGTATGGATAGTAACTTTGACGGCTCCGTGGCGCAGTGGCTTTCGAATCTCGCACGGAACAAGTATTTGTATGGCCTACAAATAATTGTTCCGGGTCTGGATGTTTGTCCTTGTGCAATTTGTGTTTGTAAACTGCCTCCACGACACAGGAGAAAATCCTAGTGTGGGGGTAACGTTTAAAAAAAAACTATGGCAAATAAGCACTCAGCCTACCTGATAATAAATGCATACTGTAAACCATAGCCATAGACACATACACCAATTCGAGATTAAGAATTAAATTCGGATGTGTTGTATATGTACAGGATATCCCCAGGGGACTAATATAAATAACACCTTCACCTTCTACCATTTGTTTATAGAATAAGGGTGATAAACGAGCACACAGTCCACTTGATAGTAAGTGCCCATAGAAATTTTTCCTCAATTAAGAATCAAAATGCAGATGAGTTGTTACCCACCCCTAAAGACAAAGATGAAAGACCTAGTTTCTAGTTAAGAGAGTCATTCAACATAGCATCTCATTTGCCACTCACAATACCAAAAACAGCAGCAATATGCTGCTATGTTACGCTGGTATTCTGTGCGATCGTGTGGTGACTGGTGGTGTGGTATACATGTTTTTGTATGGTTTTAGTTAATATCAATTAGTCTAATATACAAAACATAAACACTTCCGATATTAACCCGAGACGGATATTTATGTATGAAATATCCATATTACATGATCGATATTGTCTTGCTATTGTGTGTAAGCAAATCTATTGAGGCTTCCAAGGACTACTCAGAGACGTATCGAGTACCGAGCTACGCACAACAATATAATTCATTACAATATATTTCATTACCAAGATCCGAGAGCTTACTAAAACAAATCTACGGACAAGAGTCAGTAAAAATTTATCGATAAGACAACACAATTATTTATATTTGCTGAGAAAGCATAATGGAAACGAACAAATATCTAACTTTATGATGAAGGCATCTGTTCATGCCATTTAATTTAAAGCTCTCTTTGATGATACAGCCATTATCTTGCGATGTTCTTTTGTTGATATCTGTTTATTAATACACGTGTCTAAATGAGACTTATCCCTAATGATGTAGGCGAATAATATTACTCGCATCCACCAACGGAAGTTACATCGTCTCGAATGATTTATGTAGGCAGATTTAATCTCTAAAGTACTGATTTTAAATACAACTTTTGTTTGTATTCGTAAGGAAGTGGCGCAGACTGCTATGTGGCGGGATGTTAACTTGGTTCGCACGCAGTATCTTCATTAAATTCAATTGGGCTTCAAGTGGATCTATGAGGACAGTTTTATGCGCGATGGACCACTTGCTTTTATTTAAGGTTTAACTTTTTTTTTAATATTAACTCTTGTATATTTCATTAGTAGTAAAGTAAAAAGTACGCCGTATGTGGCATCGTAAGGCATCCACTACTGCGTTTTAGTGCGTGGGTGTCGTGAGAGGTGACACAGAGATATGAAACAGCAGATGGACAGCAAAATATTCCTGATATTTTTCGTCCATTAATTCATTACAACCTTTTTTTTTAATTATAGAATAAGGGTGACAAACGAGCACACAGTCCACCTGATGGTGACTGGTTGCTGTGGCCTATAGACATCTACATCTATCTCCGTTTGCAAATTAAAATGCAGATGCGTTGTCAGCCGTGAGGACTAAGAAATGCCTCTCTTCCAGTATAATGGGTCTCCGGTTCTGTACACTCACCATACGAAACACAGCAGCATTAAGCTGCTATTTTATGCTGGTATTCTGTGAGAGCGCGGTCCTTCCCCGGTCGAGCCGACCCATTCGTGCTACAACTATGCAATTAATATAGCTGCAGCATGGCTCTACCACGTTTAAACAATCAATCAGTCAGTTAGCAACCGCAAATATTATTATTTTGAGCCGCAAATCTACAGGGTAGGCTTATGTTCAGCAGTGGACTTTTGAACCGTTGTAATGTAATGTAATGTTATAAAATTTGAAATTATGTGTTAGGACGTAAAAGAGCAGGTGAAAGACCAACCAGGCTTTGAGGTCTTTTTTGAAGCACGAATGAGAATTTCTTTACAGAATAAACCCAATGACTGATTTAGGCCCAACATAGGATTCGAACCCGGAACCAAATGTTCAGCAGTCGCGCTTATGACTACTAGACCATTGAAGCGGATACAATTAAATAAAAACGGCTCCGTGGCGCAGTGGCTTCGCAATGAGTTGTTGCGCTTGGGGCTGCGTGTTTGAATCCCGCACGGAACAAGTATTTGTATGGCCTACACATAATTGTTCCGGGGCTGGAAGTTTGTCCTCGTGCAATTTATGTTTGTAAATTGCCTCCACGATACAGCAGAAAATCCTAGTGTGGGGGTAAGGATTTAAAAAAAAATCAAAATTGCAATTAACAATTACATTGTATAGAAGGGGATCGAACCCGGGTTGCTCGCGTACTGTAAATTTACGGCGACCGCTTATCCTATAAGTTACCACGGCTGTCCATTATTATATTTGGTCAGAGCTTTGTATTTATTGACTATTTTCATTTATGTGTGGTACACTACTGTTATTATGTTTTGTCAGCTCTTATAAGTTCGATTACTCGACGCACTAGGCAAGCCATTACAGATGATAAAGTAGCTGCCTATCATCAGGATTTAGGTTTAAGTTGGGATCGGAGTTAACAAGTTCTGACGCACTTTTAAGTGGCATTCTATCTGTGCAATTTTTATCTAGTTTAATTTCTCCGTCTCCTCCAGAAAAAATTAAACTTTTATAGGATTACTTTGTTGTCCGTCTGCCCTTCCGGCCTATCCGTTGGTCCGTAGGCGTAAAAAATCAAACTACCATTAACGCAATCAAAAATTCACCCATTTTATACTCGCAAAGTCACCTATTTAAACCTAAAGGTTTTAGTAGGTGACTTTGCGGATCTAGAATTATAAAATTTGATATGAGGCAAGGTCTCATAGCACAAGCTTAAATTTGTTATAATATATAATAAATATAAGATCACATATTTTTGTTATTGTTGATTTGTGTGGTTGGAACACCGATCGTGATATAGACTGATGTATGGAAGAATATTTTTTCCACAGCAAAGTTAAGTTTGTTCTTCAATTCGACTTTTCTATACCTATAATTTATGAATTTCAGCAAGTTAATTATTTTGGTGACAGTAGGTACTTATCAAACTACTTTTTACATTGTTATATGTACCTATTGTATGTAAATGAATATTATCTTTGTTAATTTACGGCATTCGTGTATCGGTGTCGAAAACAGGCAAAAACCGTTGTAACTTTCGGTTTCATTATAACTATCTACAGATATAATTAACATTATTCAAAATCTTCAGGGCGCTAGTCCTACTCACTCTTGTCATTTTTTTAAATATTTTAACACAATTTAATTCTTTCTAGGTTTACGTGGACACTATACTTTTAAATTAATCTAGTTTTTACGGATTTTATGGCGTATATTAGCTTTCCAAGCGTACAATTTTAAGACTTCAAGATACTATATGCTCATTCTGCGTAGATCGCATCAAAAATTTTTATAACAACATTTGTCTATTAGTAACTTATTCAGCACCTGTTTAAATTTAAATAAGGTCATAATTTTTATTGGATCAGGTAGTTTATTATAAGTTCGTGGGGCAATACCAAAAAAGCTTTTTTTCATTAGTGATGTTTTACATTTTATTCAACATAACTTACAACATAATTAACAACGTAGTGGGTGCGTATTGGATTCTTTCTAATATCAGATAATTTTTGAAAAAGAAACCTTAACCTGAAGGTAGCCGTGGTTAACTATGCCATTGAAACGTCGAACACCTCAGACCCCCGTGATCATAGGCGTTGTAAAGTATTTGAAACGTCGGGAATATAAAATAACTTAATATACGCTATTAAATCCGTAAAGATTAGTTTCATTTAACATTATTTGTTAATGATTCACTCTGGTCGAATGCTATCCGTCGGAAGATCAAAGTGAACATTACTAAACATGTTGTCGTGTGGTCAGATAGACAGCTGTACTAATTTATTCACTGGGATTTCTTTGTACGCGTGATTTCTTTTTAAGAATGCCTTTCGGAAAATATAAAAGATTTTAATATTTGCTTGTATTCTTTTGTAGATTCTTAACGTAGACCTTTTTGCTCAAG